TTACGTAAAAATGTTAGTTTGCTATAAAACTGAAGACATATAGTAAATAAATTATCAAGTAAGCACATGACACAGGTATTGATAGCATAATAAAAAATTTTAATTAACACTTAGTTACTATTATGTCTGTCAAATTCCTGACATTTCCATATTCTTTGGTATATCAATATTAAGTTTCTAAACTACATCAAAACTGATTGCAAACTGGTGACATCCATTTCAGCCAGCTATTTGTGATTTCTGCTTACATGCATTTACATCAAGCACCTTCATACTTAAGTGTGTGTGTGCGCGCGCACGCGCGTGCGTGCGTGTGTATGCGTGTATGTGTGTGTGCATCTGTGCCCAGCTAGTGTGTGCCATCACATGGCACTGGGAGACTAGTACACAAGTGCCGCTGTCATCGTGTGACATGCATGAGTGGAGCGGTGAGGTCACGTGAATGAAATCGAGGCAAACGTGGTTTGTTTTCTTCAAACAGAATGTCTTCGGGAATCATTCAACGCTTTCTCCATGCTCACAATCGCACAAAATGTCACTGCGCAATAACATTACATATCTCTGCACTGTCAGTCACTTTCACATATTGTGACCACGCTGTGCGACTGTTGCGATGTAAAACACGTTGAACGACTCCAGACACTGAGCTCTGACAGTTTTGCCGGCAAACCTGTTCCAAACCCTAGTTCGACAAACTCCAAATCACGTGATAAATTCACGGGTGTTAGTTGTTTCAGATGTTGTCACTACTCATATATTCTTCATCTTATATGATGAATGAGTATGACCCAGCACACAATCAAAAAAGTAAGTGGAACAATTCATTACACACTTCCAGGATATCATGTCAAAGTTATTGCTTGTTCACAAGCTTCATTCTTTACAATTTTACCAAGGTTTAAGTATACACATTCTCTACAACTGCTGCTAAAGAGTACTTGCACGAATGCACTCTGGATATTAACTATTAAAATAGCAATTTTGAACCTAGTTAAACCACACAGTTAAACGTTGCAATTTAAGCAATCGTAACAGAAGTCATGATAAATGTCGCTACCAGTATCTGAACAGCCATAGAAGCTATGAAAAATTACCTTGACTCTCTAGGTTTCAGTTTAAAATTTCAGTTACTAATTAAAAGTTATTGCATAACTTTAGACATTAGAGACTCCGGAGAAGTGTCACTAACATCAAGCTGCATAGGGTGTGAAATAATCCAAGCTCAACCCATCGAGTATGTGTTCCACTACTAGACGGGACCTCTAGCAACCCATAGTATTGAATCTGAACTAAGACATTTTTAGAGAGTGATTAGATTACACTAGTGGAAGTCATAACAGAGAGAACATGACTTTCTCTCGCACTACTTAAAAAAGCTGACACGATACTTTTGGCAACTATTTGACATACTATTCCAACATTGCTCCTCTCCCACTGGTAATATTAATCACGACTATCCAACCCAGCTGATATGTGTGAATAGAGGCTTGGCATGAAGGCCTGGAATAGATGATATGGAGGCCTGGAATAGATGATATGGAGGCTTGGAATAGATGATATGGAGGCTTGAAATAGATGATATGGAAG